CTTGAGGCAGTGTCAGGGCCTTGGGCCTCTCAGTGGAGAGCTGCCATGGACGCAGAGATGGCCTCCTACAGATCCACAGGCACCTACGTCGTTGAGGTTCCCCCCCCTGGGGCGAACGTAGTCGACGGCATGTGGATCTACAGGGTGAAGCGGCCACCGGGATCTCCCCCGGTCTTCAAGGCGCGCTACGTGGCTAGAGGTTTCAGTCAGCGCGAGGGAGTTGACTTCTTTCAGACCTTCGCACCTACCCCGAAGATGACCACTCTTCGGGTGTTACTACACGTAGCAGCACAGAGAGACTACGAGTTACACTCTCTCGACTTCTCCACTGCTTTCCTTCAGGGCAGCCTACACGAGGAGGTCTGGTTGCGTCGTCCCTCGGCCTTCACTGGCACTTTCCCTCCTGGGACCCAGTGGAGGCTGAGGCGACCTGTTTACGGTCTTCGCCAGGCCCCTCGTGAGTGGCACGGACACTCTGCGTTCTACCCTCTCTGACCTTGGGTTCCAGCCGTCTTCTGCCGACCCGTCGCTGTTCGTTCGTCGTGGCTCCACACCGTTCTTTGTTCTGGTCTACGTCGACGACCTCGTTTTCGCCACTCCGGACAGGGTTGCTTTGGCAGACGTGAAGTCCGAACTGCAGAAGAGACACACGTGCACTGATCTTGGTGAGCTGCGCCACTACCTTGGCCTGCAGATCACCAGGGACAGAGCCGCTCGCACCATTACACTCTCACAGTCACACATGGTGCAGCAGGTCTTTCAGCGGTTCGGGCTTCAGCACTCCACCGTACAGCGCACACCTCTCGCTGTTGACCACAGACTCACTGGTCCCTTTCCTGACGAGCCGTTTGAGCCTAGTGGTCCCTACGCAGAGCTTGTGGGTTGCCTCATGTACCTGATGACTTGTACTCGCCCGGACCTCGCCTTCCCTCTCAGCATCCTTGCGCGCTTTGTTGCGCCAGGGAGACACCGTCCTGTTCACTGGACGGCAGCTGTGAGGGTGGCGAAGTACCTAGCGACTACATCAGGCGTGGGGCTAGTTCTTGGAGGGCAGCAGTCTGTCGTACTCACTGGTCACTGTGACTCCTCTTACGCTGACGACGCTGAGACTCACAGGTCTACTCAGGGGTACTGTTTCAGTCTGGGTTCTGGAGCTGTTTCCTGGCGTTCCACGCGCTCCTCTTCTGTCTCGACCTCTACAGCTGAGGCTGAGATTTACGCTGGTGCCATGGCGGCACAGGAGTTGCGTTGGTTGACCTTCTTGCTCGCCGACCTTGGTGAGCGGCAGAGCTCTGCACCGACCTTGTTCACTGACAACAAGGCGTCGATCCTCCTCTGTCGTGAGCCGCGACTGGAGAGCAGAGTGAAGCACATTCACGTCAGGTACTTTCTTCTGCGAGAGTTGCAGAGGCGTGGACAGGCTCGCTTCGAGTTTGTGGAGTCCGAGGCCAACACTGCAGACATCTTCACCAAGGCGCTTCCGCCTCGTGACCACCAGAGGTGTTGTGTGCAGTTAGGCCTTGTTGACACAGGTTCTAGTCATGTGTAGGCTTGAGTTTATTGGCTGCTTCGTCTGTACTCTTGCTATATATACTTGTGATCTCTTGGACTGGCCTTGTGGCCACTGTTGCTTGTGCTCAGAGTGTGTGGTGACGTTGTGATCCACCCTGAGCTTTGTTTTCTTTTGGACTGGTCTTGTGACCGTACTCTTTTTGATTTTGCTAGACACCCCTCACTTAGGCTATGGGGGTGTGTCAAATGTTGTAGCCTATAGTGAGGTTTGTCTTAGGGGGTACAGAAGTTAGGGTTTGTTATATGTACCCCAACCAACATCAATGGCACCATCCATTCCTCATTCTGACAGTGCCTACTCTGCCTCACCTGGTGGTTGCTTGACTTGTCTTGTACTGCGATCTATGCTTATATACCTGCATACTTTCTCTTGCTAGGTTGTGATCTCTGTACTGCTTGTGCTTTTATAACTCCGCATGTGAACTGGCCTTGTGGTCGCTTGCTTGTGTTCAGGCTGCGTTGTCATCTTGAGATCCACCCTAAGCTTTGCTTTGCTTTGTTCTCTTGCTTGAGTGGCCTTGTGACCGTCTGTTGTGTTTGCTAGCCCCCATTTTGCCTATGGGGGTGTGTCAAATTGCATTTGCATCAGGGCCCAAAATATCAGGGTAAAACGCCCTGATTACCCTGGGGGCGGCCGCTTTTTCAGGATTACCCTGCCAAAATCAGGATTTCACAATTGTTACCCTTCTGCAAAAAGAGCATGGTTTTTTTTACACTGATTGGATTTATGGTTAGCCTGACGATGTCAAGGTAGGGTGTAGACTACCCTGATACCGAAACTTCTTTACTGCGGATCAGGCCATACTTCGCGTGGTGACAAACTGTACCACACCCACACAAACAGGCGTTGTCGCTTGTGACCACTGGCATAAACCCTTCGAGCCCGTCCGATGCATCAGAAATTTGCTACTTCCGTGTCTGATTGGTCAGACATTTCCAAAAAGCCTTGACAGCAAATTCGCCCTAGCACGGTGGTTTCGTGCTGTCAGAGCACAGCAAAATTCGCCCAATCACAGTTTTGCGCTGTCAGAGAGCAGCGAATTTGCCCAATCACAGCAGAAATACCTTGACAGTAGAGCAGATTCGCCCTCACACAAGAGATTCGCCCTGTCAGAGCATGTTTCGCCCAATCATAGCAGGTCCGGTTGACATCTCAGATCAGGAAATGCTCGAAACTGTAGGCTATAACATGATTCGGTTTCAGATGAATTAGAAAATACGTTTCTGATGCATCAGATGAAACTAAAAAATGATTTCTAGCCAATAATATGAAATCGAAATCAAATATAGGAAAATCATATTAACTGAGAAAAAATCGTCTGAGTTTTAAGACAAACAGACAAAAATGTCTGATAGCGAGGATCCTGTTGTGAGTGCTACTTTATTAAATGAGTATAAAATACTTACTAGCTCACAAAATAGTAGCCAAAACAGGCTTAGCCTAAAACTACCCTGCTCAAATCAGGCTATAGGTTGATTTACCCTGCTGCAAACACGGTACGAAATTGTTTACCCTAGGGGTCGGGCTAAGGAGGTGCTAGAGCCCTGATTTGTAAGGGTAGGCCTAGACCAATTTTGGGCCCTGATTTGCATGTCTCTAGGCTGTAGTGGGGCACAGCACTTTAGTTCAACCCTAGTACTTGTACTCATGCTTTCTTCCTAGTCATCATTCCTGCTCGTTTATTCTGACATTCCACTTGCCAAACTTGAACCCACCTCGCATTCCCGAGGTTCCCTCCTAGCTAGGATAGCCACTATTCTATCACGTGCGTTCATTGTATTGTGAGTTCATTGAGTAGCAGCCTCGTTATTCGCTATTCCGCACTACTCTGTTGTACAACTCATAACATAAGACCACTCATAACAATTTTGCTGCAAGCCTCCTCAATATCGGCCTAGTATCGAGGGGCGGCATTTTGGAAGTGGATATAGTTTGTGTCCTGAATCGCGAGGTATTTTAGGGCGTATTCCAAAGCATGGACACCATCCGAAGTCGGGCCACGCGGTCCGCAATGTTGGAAATTCGAATTTCAATGTTGCGCCACGCGGTTCGGCATCAAGACACTTTGGAGCTGACGGCCACGTAACATGCGACCGTCTTGCACGTCTTCATGCGACAAGGGGTTTTCATGCCATGTTGGTGTATGATTGGGACATTGAACCTGACAGGCTGAGTTACCGTGACCAGTTAACGTCACGAAACTTTACGCATTCTGACCCGCGTGCTAGTCGGGTGGGAGAGGACCTTAAAACTACTTAGAAGTAGCGACTGCTCTAATGTGAAGCACACTACGGTGAGCATCATGTCATACACAGAACGCGAACACTATTCATTGCGACCCGTCGCATTCCCCCGTCACAAAAAAATCATTCGCCAGCCGTTTTCTTATAGCCCTCGCGTCCCTTCCCCCTAGCCGTCGCTTCCCCATGCGGCCTCGCGTCCTCCCGCCACCGTCCCCTCTTCCTCTGGAATCGCAGTCCGCGCCATCCACGCTTCCCCTCCCTGGCGCTGCCATTTCCCCGGTGTCGCATTTTGCTGATCGAGCTGTCTGAGGGCTCGCGTTGCCGCACCTTGCGGCGCGCTGACGCACATTAAAACCGGAGTCTCAAGTTTCCCGTAGTTGCCTCATCCTTCCTACCTTTGGTTGGGTCACAAAGTCCAACCAACCTTCCTACCTTTGAAACCTGTGGACCCTGGGTTTTAACCACTTCATGCCACATGACCGTTCCAGGCGGCGGTGACGCGCCAAACGCTCGTGCCGCGATGCGAATTTCCAATCGGATTTCCTCGTAACGTCGCGGGGCTCGCTCCGCGATGAGAGTCGAACGCGGATCACGGCTCTCGAGGTCGGCAGTGCTGGTCGCAGCGTGGGCTGCGTGCCTCGTGACCGCCGTCGCGCTCCACTCGCCGCTCTCTCAGGTGCCCTTGCTCGCGTGCCCCGTTGCCCGCGTGCCACTCTCGCTGCTCCCATGCGTGCCGTCCTGCGCCGTGCCTGATCCAGCGCCATTTCACCCGGCTTACCCTCATTCACCCCACCTTCCCAACCCATTTTCCCTGTGCTTCTCCCGTCCCACCCTCTCCCACCCCTCCACCCCGCACGCCCCTCCCCCCTCCCTCGCGCCGCATGTATTAGTGGCAGCCCGCGGAGGGCGCGGAGCAAACGGATGGGGAAGCACACTGGCGGAGAGCAGAGGGCGTGCAACAATGGGTTGGGGGGAGGGGCGACGGGTGGAGAATTGGGGAAGGGGCGGCGAGTGGGGAGGAGGGTGGAGCGGGAGGAGTGAGGGGCGCGGGGGTGAAGCGAGGAGAGGCGGAGGCAGAGGGGGAACTCCGTGCAGGCAGGCGGCTGTTGGCTGCTGTGATAGGGGGCAAGGGGATGAGGGGGGCGAGGGGGGTGATGGGGGGAAGGGGGGTGCGGGGGATGAGGGGGAATTGGAGCAGGCGGAGGGCAAGGGGAGTGAGGGTAGGAGCGAGGGAGAGAGAGCAGTGGGGGAGAAGGAAGGGGGGGACTTGGGTGATGATGGCAATGCAGCTGCGCCACAGGGCGCGGATGAGCCAGAGGGCGCGGATGAGCCACAGGGCGCGGATGGGTCACAGGGCGCGGATGAGCCAGAGGGCGCGGATGGGTCACATGGCGCAGATGGGTCACATGTCGCAGATGGGTCACATGTCGCAGATGGGTCACATGGCATGGGGCCATATTCGGCGGAGGAGGGCGGGGCAGACGGGTCGGAGGAGGAGGGAGAGGGTATGGAAGGCGATGAGGCAGGTGGTGCGTGGGAGGAGGGGGAGGGCGCGGCAGGGTCGGAGAGCAACACAGGGGGGTTTGGGTGGAGGGAGGCTAAGGAGAGTGTGGAGGTAGCAGCAGCATTGGGGGAAGCAGAGGGTGCAGGCAGCAATGAAGACGTGTTGTTTGACATCCCTCCTGCTCCTGCTGCTCCTGCTGCTGCTGCTGCTGCTGCTGCTGTCCCTGATGATGGCGCGGCGCAGCAGGGTGAGATGGGAGGGGATGACACGTGGAGAGGGAACGAGAACACGGGGGAGCAGGTGAGGTGAAGCAACGCACCTCACTCACTCACTGCACCACACCATGCCACCCCTCCTCTCTATCCTCTCAAATTCCTCAGCGTCCCTCCTCCTCCTCTCCTTCCTCTATCTCCCCCCTTCCCTTCCTTACCCTGTCACGCACCTGCGCTGCCCCCTCGCACGCCCGTTCTCACCGTGCCACCCTCACCCCGCCTGTCCACCGTCGGTCGCATCACGCACGGCACGGGCCCTTCCCTCCGGCAGGTGGCAGCCAAGCCGGCCCACCTGTGGCGGGTGGCGGTGTGCCTCGTGGGCGGGGCGCGCGACTTCGAGCTCACGGGCCCGTCCATCGTGCAGCGCCTGCTGCTGCCGCTGCTGCCGCACCGCCCCGTGCTCTTCCTGCACGCGCCCCTCGACCACGCCTCCTTCAAGCTCTGGCCGCTGCTCTGGGCTGCGCGGCGCGGCGTGGCCGTGGGGGCGGTGCGCGTGTTCCCCAGCACGTGGGTGAATGAGAGCGCCCTGCCGCCGGGGGTGGTGGAGGACCCTTCCTCGCCACACGGCACTCAGGTGGGCGGGTGATGGGGGCTGCATTGGAGGTGCAACTCGTGTGGCTGCATGTGCATGCTCGCCTGCCTGCATACAAGCAACATCCCGTGTACCAGTGCTGCTGCCTACCCACCACCTCACCTGGGAAAACGAGCTTGTTTACAACCTTGCGGTCTCAAGTGTTGTGCGCATTGCGGTCGCTTTGCGTTTATACTTGATTGTGAAACTTTTGCCCACCCACCCATGCACTGCGTCTGTGTCCCTCCCTCTCCATCACGCCAGGGCATGCTGCAGTACTTCCGTCTCGTGGAGGGGTGCATCCCCCTCATGCGCGCCTACGAGCGCCGCCACGCCATCACCTTCGACTGGCTGCTGCGCACGCGAGTCGACACCTTCTGGCACCGCCCCTTGCCGCCGCTCTCCGCCTTCCCCCTGCACGCCTACACCATCCCCTTCGGCTCCGACTGCTTCGGCCTGAATGACCGCTTTGGCCTCGGCACGTGGCACACCGCCCTGCCCGCGCTCTCGCGCCTCTCCATGCTGCCTGCCATTGCTGCGGGCGGCGCGTTTCGGCAGTTTTCTATGCAGGGCGTGGGCGGGCTGGGGCAGGAGGCGAGCAACTCGCATGCCATCCCCGTGGAGTAGGTGGCACCGCGGGGCACGGCGGGTGGATGGGTGGGTGGGTGGGTGGGTGGGTGGGTGGGTAGCAAGAGCAGTGTTTGTATAGGAATGGGGAGTGATACTGTGTGAACAACGCGGCTTCGTGTGCACCATCGCCACTTGAACACAACAGCACAGCCCTAAACCCCACCCTGTCCCTCCCCCTGTCCCCCGCCATGCGCCCACCAGGGTACCAACAGGGCTGAACTCAGAGCAGGCATTCAAGGCGCAGCTGGCACTGGCAGGGGTGCCAGTAGCACGGGCGGACCTGGCGTTCTGTGTGGTGAGCCGGCGAGTGTACCGGCACCACGCCATGCCCGTGCTCTCGCTCAACACGTCCACGCCCCTCAACGGCGCCAAGTGCCGGCCCTGCTACCCCAAGATCAAAGGTGCCGAGGTGAGGCCCGCTGCCACGAGCACATAGCAGGGGGCTCAGTGCGTGGGGCAAGCAGCCGCTCACATGCACGTGCACATTCCTAGTGTGCTTCTTAGGGCACTACGCCATCTGCTCTCCCACACCTAACTCTGCATGACTGCATGACTGCACATCACTGCACATCACCGCACATCACCGCACATCACTGCACATCACTGCATGCATCCATGCGGCAGGCCAATCTGCGCATCCGGCGGTGGTACCTGGAGGGCTCGCGCTTCGGTCCGCACCGCTCGCCCTCATTCGCCAACCGCACCGACTTTGCGCTGTGCGACGCCGCCAAGCCGTGGCCCGCCCCCCACGTGGCGGCCGCCCTGTTTGACGCCGCTGCCGGGCCACGGCTGGCGAGGGAGCGCCACTCCATCATGCATGTCACCCTGCGCGGCTGCGCACGCAACTTCAGGAAGGTATGGGAATGCGTGTGCTGACCGCACTCGCCCTGTGAAGCTCCAGTCACCCTGTAGATTTGCGAAGCTCTCGCCTTGTCTGCATGCTCCTCTGCTCTGCTTGGCCTCCATGCCTGGTGCCACCTGCCTCTCTCTCTCTCTCCTCTCCCCATCCCCCATGGGTCGTGCCAGCTGCGGCGGCATGCGGAGGAGTGGCAGGCGCCAGCAGAGGCGGTGCTGTGCTTCCGGTCGCAGCTGGGGGAGGTGCAGCTGCTGGGGCCGCCTGGCCAGTGCTTCTACACCGCGCTGCACGGGGTCAACCGCACCAGGTGCGTGCCACTCACACGTTCCCTGTTTGCAGCCAGCCCGTGGCCTCCAAGTGCCACAGCCCACTCACAACGACTGTGCTGCGTGTCCTGCCCCTCTGTGCCCTGCCCTCACCTCACCCGCTAGCCTGGTCATGACAACCACACCGGGAGCCGCACATGCGAAGGGCTCGTGGGAGTGGAGCATGCGGCGCCATGCGCCTGGCCTCCACATCTCTGCTCTCCCTGCTGCCGTCACACATGCCTCCTCCACCGCCCACACACTCAAGGTGCCCACCGCTGCTGCCCTGCTTTCCATGCTCTCTGCCTGCCCTGCTTTCCATGCTCTCTGCCTGCCCTGCTTTCCATGCTCTCTGCCTGCCCCTTGGCTTCCCTGCCCGCTGTGCCCTATTCCTGTGCACCCGTCACTCTCCAAATGCATCCCACCTACTCTTCCTTCTCGCCTCCCTTCCCACCCTCCATGCCCTTGTCCTACTCTTACCGTTCTGTTTGCATCCTCTCCTCACTCCATTCCACATCCCCCACGCCATCCACTGCTACCTGCAGCTGTCACTCACAGGCGCTGACCTGCCACTCATCTTCGACTGGCAGAAGCAAAACGCCTCACTGCCCACCTGCCAGCTGCTGCTTGCCTTGCCAGATGCGGTGGCCCCACTGGACCGCAACGCCACCATCACTGCCCTGCACCACCTCGGATTCCACCTCATGGCGTGCATTCAAGAACCGCGTGTCACGGTCGAGAGATGCTCCTTCTTCTCCGTGAAATACTGCTCGCAGCTCTTAGGTGTTGGGCCAAAGGCACGCATTGTAAGACAATGAAAAGCAACACCAAAAATCTTTTTAATCGAGGTGCTAAGCGAAGTCCTATGCAGGAGAATCTCATAAACCCACCTCAAAATTGCTGGAAACAGTTGAGTTTTATTGGAGTTTCACCACCAATTTGAGGCACGGTAATCTTACAACCTCGAACTCTGAACTCGTCCTCCGATCTGAACTCTTGGTCGTGCTGTGCACTGACTGAACTTGCCCACGCAGCATTGCTAGGAATAACCATGAGTCATTTGAATATGCAACACATGGGTGCACGCACCCACCCCTTATTTCCTTGCCAAGGCTCAACCCAGTGGGTGGACAGGTGGGCGTACGGCTAACTACTGCTTCCACTGGCTACCCCTTATTTCAAGAATGTGCTTTAAACTAAACTGGAGTTATGAATCATCACGAATCAACAAGAGGCCTCTCTCCTCGTCCACTTCTACTTCTCTCCCAACCGAGCAACCAGCAACTCTCTTCCCCATGGGCCAGCCGCCTTCGCTACTGCCATCGCCACTGCTGCTGCCAGCAACACTCACATCATCGCTGTTCCTATGGGAGCGGAACGAGCCATGCCGTTTTGGTGGTGGTGAGCGTGGGGACAGAGCAAGCGGCAAGGAGCCGTGCTTGTTGGGCGGTGGCGAGGCGAGCATGAAGAAGAAGGCAGCTGAGTATATGCACACGTGCCACACACTGCAGTGGATTGGGGAGATATTAGAGTGAGAAAGTCACCAACGGGTTTGAGTGAAAGGGGAGGGAGGAAAGGGGAGGGAGGGAAGGGAAGAGAGCAGAGAAACGTGGGTCGGAAAGTGGAGAACGGCTGGGCTGTTGTAGCCACGGTGGACAGATGGAGTTCAGAGCAGTAGCAAGTGCTTTTCGTATGCGGAGAATTTGATGAAGAATGTAAGAAAGCGAAGTGTTTTCCCATCCTCTCCTTGCTCCCCTCCTCTTCTGCCGCTGTCGATGTACTTCCGCACGAGTGCATGCTCACCCACATGCACACACAGACACGCACACAGACATGCACGCAGACATGCACACAGACATGCACACAGACATGCACACAGACATGCACACAGACATGCACACAGATACGCATGCATATCCACATCCCGCCCACCTGCCCACGTTCACACACACCCACCGCACATGCTTCAGCCTCCCCCATCTACGACTTTTGAGACGTCTCAAAAGTGCTTCAGGCTCCCCCATCTACGTCCCATTCCCCCACGCCACCTCCCACTCCCCTTTCCCCCCCCCACCTGTGCCAGATCCAGTAGGTGGCGGGCACCTCCACGAGGAAGCTGGAGGCCGCCAGCAGCGCCGCCAGGGCGCCCAGCAGCAGCGACGGCACGTGGAACGTGGCCAGCAGCGCCAGCAGCACACGCAGCACCACTGCCACCTGTGCACGGCACCTGGTGGGGGCGAGAGTACGTAGAGAGGACGTGTGCGGGAAAAGCTCTTGGTTGAGGCATGATTGGAGTGCGATGAAGAGACGTGAAAGGGGAAAAAGATATGCATGTGGGCAAGGGACGAAGATATGCATGTGGGCAAGGGACGAAGATATGCATGTGGGCAAGGGACGAAGATATGCATGTGGGCAAGGGACGAAGATATGCATGATGGCAAGGGACGAAGATATGCATGTGGGCAAGGGACGAAGATATGCATGTGGGCAAGGGACGAAGATATGCATGTGGGCAAGGGACGAAGATATGCATGTGGGCAAGGGACGAAGATATGCATGTGGGCAAGGGACAGGCAGCAGATGCGGAAGCACGTGAGGCAGCGAAAGGCACTTTGATTGTGCCACTGCTCTGATACCACCGCCCACTGCATGCAATGCCATGCAGTCCATGCCATGCAGTCAATGCCATGGCATCACCACCACACACACACCATTGGAACATTCTTCTCCACACCGATGCGTGCTGCCCCGCTTTACTTTCCCTCGTGACCCCACATGGCCACTCCCCGTCACTGCTGCAAGGGGGCGGCAGCAGAGACGCGCCCTCCTCCTCCACGTGCCCATGCCGGGAGCCCCCTTGCTCTTCCGCGGACTGCACAGCGCAGCTTGCCGCCTCGAGAGGCGTGTGGGGGGCATGAGGGGCGGCGGAGGAGGAGGCGGAGGAGGAGCGGCGCAGAGCAGCGAGGCGAATGAACCAGCCGGTGATGAGCGCCGCTGCTCCCAGCGCCAGCAGCACCACGATGCTCCACCCACTGCCCATGATGGTTTTCGGGGGGGGCACACACGGGGAAGATGAATTCGGGCGACGAAGAAGGCAAGGCAGGCAGTAGAGGGAGGACGGCTGGCAGTACAGGGAGGACGGCTGGCTGTTGAGGGAGGAAGGAAATGTTGAGAGAATCAGCTGAGCTACCTTGCTGCGTGGCGTGGGGTTGATAAGCCCGGTAGGAAAATAAAGGGCGTCCTCTCGTCCCTTGGCAGGCAGGCAAGTGAGAGCGAGGGCACACGGCCGGCAAGGTGGAAGGCGTTGGAGGAGCGTGAGGGCGTGAGGCGCCGCTTGTGGCGCGTGAGATGAGATCAGATCAGACCAGAGCCCCACCGCCCCGCACTGCACCTCCCTGCCCTCACCACCCGCACGCCTCACACTGTGGCTTGACCCTCTTGACTTTGGCTTGCCCACTGGCTCACCTGGTGGCTTAACGGGTGGGTTGCCCGTGTGAGCCCTCTAAGCCCACCTGATGGCTCGCCTGATGGGTGAGCTGATGGCTCACCTGATGGCTCACCTGATGGCTCACCTGATGGCTCGCCTGGCGCCTCACCTGGCGCCTCTCCTGGCGCCTCGCCTGGCGCCTCACCTGGTGGCTCACCTGGTGGCGCGGTCGACAGCCATGACAGCGGTGGAGAAGGAGGCGAGGACGAAGAAGAGGAAGCGCGGCCAGATGGGCACTTGGGCCACGTGCAGGAAGGCCAGCAGCACGGCCAGGAAGGACGAGTAGAAGTCGGCGAACTGCAGCGTGGGGTAGCGCGCAGCGCACCAGCCGTCCGTGTCACACAGGTGGTAGAGGGCGCTGCAGAGCCCGTTGAGCGAGAACATCACCCACTCGGGGTATGCCTGGTAGAGAGTCAGTCAGTGGATGGGTGGGCGTGGGAGGGAGATGCGGGAGTGTGGTGAGGGGGAGCGGATGAAAGGGATACAGTGGTGAGGGTGGGTGTCCGGAGGGACGGAGCGATGCAGAGTGGTGTGAGAAAGCATGAGCTCAGACCACCATGCCTTTCCCCCAGACACAGCGACACGACACCATCCTTTCCCCCTTGACTTACTCCAAGGTACAGCGAAACCATGGCTGGCAGCACAGCCACCACGTTGCTCCCCACCAGCGCCCAGCGCTGCTGCTCTATGCCTGCCAGTCACACGGGCAGTGGGGCACGGCACGGGCGACGGATGGTGGGCGCTTGGAAGAGGGCGAGAGAAAACGAGGGAGATAATCAGAGGTGGAAAGGCAAGAGGCGGAAAGGGCAAGAGGTGGAAAGGGCAAGAGGTGGAAAGGGCAAGAGGTGGAAAGGCAAGAGGTGGAAATGGCGCGCAGCTGCAGTTTTAGACAGTCCCATTTGGGATTGCGGGTCTTATGAGTGAGAGAAGGAAGCCCAGGGTAAGTGGGAGAGACGAGAGGCGACGCGGGAGAGACGAGAGGAGACGCGGGAGAGACGAGAGGAGACGCGGGAGAAGGAGGAAGTGGGAGAGGAGAGGGGCAGCACGTTAACATCGTGAGGCGGTGATGTGTGGTGAGCACATGGCGGTGATGTGTGGTGAGCACATGGCGGTGATGTGTGGTGAGCACATGGCGGCGGTGATGTGTGGTGAGCACATGGCGGTGATGTGTGGTGAGCACATGGCGGTGATGTGTGGTGAGCACATGGCGGTGATGTGTGGTGAGCACATGGCGGTGATGTGTGGTGAGCACATGGCCGTGATGTGTGGTGAGCACATGGCGGTGATGTGTGGTGAGCACATGGCGGTGATGTGTGGTGAGCACATGGCGGTGATGTGTGGTGAGCACATGGCGGTGATGTGTGGTGAGCACATGGCGGTGATGTGTGGTGAGCACATGGTGGCGATGTCTGTTAAACACCACAGAGAAGGTGCTGTCACCTGTGCGTTGTGTTCCACCTGGCAGCACGCACCTAGCTGTGAGACGGTCTCAATGGAGCAGTCCACCCCCCCGTGCGACCGATCGCAGAAGCAGTAGCTGTGGGGGAGGGGTGAGTGGGTCGAGGAGAGTTGCACGACAGAGGCACAAACAACAGCAGTGTTGAAACTTGCAATTCCGGGCAGCGGAGGGTGATAGCGCATGCAAGGCGAGTGAACGAGAAAGTGGAAAAGCGAGGAGGCGGGGAGAAGGTGACTGGGGGGAGTGGAGGGAGTGAGGGTGATAACACATACTAGACACCGAATTGGAAGGCGCCGTCTGCCATGACGTGGCAGGGACTGCCCGAGCAGCCGTTGGGACACCCATGCTGCACCACCCGCACCTCCCACTCCCACGCCCACTCCCCGTCGCCCCCCCTCCCCCTCCCCCTCTTCGTCACTCTCTTCCTTGCCCCCCTCGCTTGTGCGAGGCGCGGCAGCGTCCAGCCCCACGGCCACGAAGGTGGTGACCTCCGCGGGGTGGATGAGCTCCAACGACAGCTGCCCGCCCCTGGCCGCTGCACCGGGGGAGTGGGGGGGGAGAAGGGAGGGTGAGGAGCGGAGAGAGGTGGGGGAAGGTGAGGTCAGTGGTGGGGGAAAGGGGTGGGATGGGATGGTGGGGGAGGGGACGGGGGGAGGAGTGGAGAATGAGGGGGGAAAGAGGTTAAGTTGTCCGGGGATGAGGAGAGGAACACCGAGCAGAGGCACCCTCCATCCCACCCACCTACCCACCCACCCACCCATCTCAAACCTACCCATCTCCCAACCACCCACTCACCCATATCTGTGGCCGGTGCGACAGCGGAGGCATCAAAGCGTGTGAGGGACGGCAGGCCACCGGCACGCACGAGCAGATACACAAACGCCGTCGGAGCTGCACCGGATGACCCCACTGCCACCCCCCCTGCACTGCTGTTGTTGCCACTGCCTCCACTCTCCGCCTCTCCCCCTTGCCCTTCCCCATCCCCGTCCGCCCCTGGGCCCTGCCTGAGCGGGCGGAGGCGCAGGTGGATGGAGAGAACGCCCCCGCGCGCCCCAAAGGGCGGAGCGAGCGAGAGGAAGGCCCAGGAGGGGCGCGCAGGGGAGGGCGAGGCGGCAACGGGCACGGGGAACCACGACGCCCACAGGGAGGGCGGGGCAGGCGAGGCGGGGGGCAGGTAGGCTGCGTCAAGGCCTGACTCGTACGACCATGAGAGCAGGTGCGGCTGGTGGGATTGGGGGGAAAGGGCACGGGCATGCAGAAGGGGTGATGGGCCAAGTTGGGTGGGGAGTGGGGGTGCGGGGGCGATGGGTGTGAGGGAGAGGCAGAGGGCAGAACGGCACAAAGAGAGGGGTGGGAGGTGAGAGGGGTGCGGGAGGAAGGGTACAGGTTTAACAAGAGTAGAAGGAGCATGGTGGGTGTGGGAGGCATGCAATACGAGTCATCCATCTCCACCGCACTTCACCGCACTGCATTGGGTGTGAGAGGAGCAGGCTCCTTCCTGCATTGCTTTCAAATCCCTCCCACCCTCCTCTCACCCACCAACCCTCCTCACACGTCCCCTGTCCCTCCACCTCCCCTCTCCCTCCCCTACCTCTCACTCGCCTCTAGCCTCACCTCGAGGGGAATGAGCGGCCACTGGCACTGAGACCCAGTGAGGCGGGGGAAACACGTGGCAGCCTTCCATTGGATGCTCACACACACCTCTCCGCCCCCTTCTCCCTCATCCGCAGCCCCCCCCTGCTGCCCGTGCGCCCACGACCCCCCCCCACAGCGACGCCCACCACCCTCCATCTCCCCCCTCCCTACCACCACTGCCACCACCACCACTGCTAACACTGGTACTACCGTTGACACCAATGCTGCTGCTGCTGCTGTTGCTAGCTGTGCTGCCATTACCGGACCCACTCCGCGCAACGCTGCTGGCAGGGTGGGAGAGCAGCAGGTGCCAGGAGCCCGGGTCAGCCACGGCCTGCCAGCTGCCAATGTCCATGCGCCCCTCGCTCCACCACACGTCCACCCCCGCCCCCCCCTCCGCTCCCCCCCTCCCCTCCTGCCCTCCATTGCCCCTAACATCGCCGCTGTTGCTGCTGCCTGCTTGCTCCTCGGTCTCTGAACGCGGCTGCACGGAAAAGGAGGGTCCAGCTGGCGCGCCGCGATTCGACGGGCCGAGGAGAGCCATGCGGCGCAGCTGCACGGAGGGAGAGGCGTTGGCGGAGCGGGCGTGACCCGTGAGCCAGGACGGGAGGGGGGAGGCGGAGGAGGCAGAGGAGGAGGAGGGTGGTTCGGGGTAGATGGAGATGAGGAGCTTGGGCAGGGGCTGGGGGATGGCAAGGGTGAAGAGGAGCGGGGGAGAGGAGGCGCGCAGGCACTGGTGAGTGAGAGAGCCCCCGTACAGGGCGTCCATGCCTGGTGCTGTGAATGCATCGTGATGGTGGGACGAGGGGTCGGAGGGGGATGGGGAGGGGGAGGGGGGGGGAGGGGGAGGGGGAGGAGGAGGGGGATGGAGATGGGGATGGGGCGGGGGGGGAGGAGGAGTCGTTTCCAGACGAAGCATTGGCTGCTTGCGGTGTCACAGGAGGGCGAGCAGGGAGAAACGTGTGGGAGGAGAGGGGGTGCAGGGGCAGCGGCGTGCGCGAGTCATTGCAGAAGCGGCCGGAGAGCAGCGGCGCGTTGAAGCAGGAGAAGGCGGTGAGGGCGAGGTCGAAGGTGTGCGATGTCCCCCGCAGCACCATCTTGGACTGCGTGCGCGCCGCCCCCCACTCGCTGAACACCCCCACGTTCCACACGCCTGCTACCGGTTGCTGCGAGCACGTGGGATGGGAGGGGTGAGGGAGTTGGGGGGGCTTGAGAGGTGGGGGGAGGGGATGAGAAGACAATGGGAGGGATGCCCCCCCGCAGCACCATCTGGGACTGCGTGCGTGCTGGACCCCACTCGCTCAACACCCCCACGTTCCACACACCCGCCACCGGTTGCTGCGGGGTGAGGGAGATGGGTGACGGAGATGGGGTTTGGGAAGGGGGGTGGGAGCGTTGGGGGGTGTGGTGTGGGAGTGGGGGAATGAGAGGAACAATGGGAAGAGTAGCAAATAGTGAGGAGCTGGGTTGCGAAAGGAAGGGTAATGAAGAGAAGGGGCACAACACAGACCATGCGCAGTACATGAGAGGGCACAGCATAGCTCGCATGCGTCCAACCACCATTCTCAACGCCCTGCCGCCTCCCAGCCTGCCTGCCCTGGCCTCACGGGCTCACCTGGTCAGCGGGAAGGCTGAAGACAGCGGTGGAGTGGAACAAGGCACAGTGCGACTGCCCCGCCCCTCCCCCTCTCTTACCCCCCAACCCCGACCCTCCTTCCCCCACTGTGCCATTCCCCTTACCACCGCCGCCCCCCCACCCTTCCCCCACCATAGCCGCGATTGCAGCTGCAGCAGATGCGTCTACCATCCGCCCTCCCCCACCCTTCCCCGCCCCTGCGCCTCCCCCTGCCCCCGGGCCATCCCCCTGCTCCTGCCCGCGCTCCACTGTGACTGCGCCCATGGCCCCCCCAAAGGGGGAAAGCGCTCCCCCCGCCGCCTTGGCTGCTGCCTCCAGTGACTCGTCTGCAGCAGCAAAAGGGGGAGGGGGGAGGGGATGATCGGGAGGGTGGGGAGGTGGAGCATGGGGTTGGGGAGAAAGTGGGAGGGATTAAGCAGACGCAGACTGGCAGTAAGAATGAGAAGTGAGCGCACAAGAGAGCAACGGGGCAGCACGCGGCACCCAGAACGTGACATGCGTTTCTGTGAGGAGGATGTCACCAAGAGATTGGCGAAAAGGGATGGAGCAAGGGATTGACAGCTGGAGCAAGGGATTGACAGCTGGAGCAAGGGATTGACAGCTGGAGCAAGGGATTGACAGCTGGAGCAAGGGATTGACAGCTGGAGCAAGGGATTGACAGCTGGAGCAAGGGATTGACAGCTGGAGCAAGGGATTGACAGCTGGAGCAAGGGATTGACAGCTGGAGCAATGGATTGACAGATGGAGCAAGGGATTGACAGCTGGAGCAAGGGATTGACAGCTGGAGCAAGGGATTGACAGCTGGAGCAAGGGATTGACAGCTGGAGCAAGGGATTGACAGCTGGAGCAAGGGATTGACAGCTGGAGCAAGGGATTGACAGCTGGAGCAAGGGATTGACAGCTGGAGCAAGGGATTGACAGCTGGAGCAAGGGATTGACAGCTGGAGCAAGGGATTGACAGCTGGAGCAAGGGATTGACAGCTGGAGCAAGGGATTGACAGCTGGAGCAAGGGATTGACAGATGGAGCAAGGGATTGACAGCTGGAGCAAGGGATTGACAGATGGAGCAAGGGATTGACAGCTGGAGCAATGGATTGACAGATGGAGCAAGGGATTGACAGCTGGAGCAATGGATTGACAGCTGGAGCAAGGGATTGACAGCTGGAGCAAGGGATTGACAGCTGGAGCAAGGGATTGACAGCTGGAGCAAGGGATTGACAGCTGGAGCAAGGGATTGACAGCTGGAGCAAGGGATTGACAGCTGGAGCAAGGGATTGACAGCTGGAGCAAGGGATTGACAGATGGAGCAAGGGATTGACAGCTGGAGCAAGGGATTGACAGATGGAGCAAGGGATTGACAGCTGGAGCAATGGATTGACAGATGGAGCAAGGGATTGACAGCTGGAGCAATGGATTGACAGATGGAGCAAGGGATTGACAGCTGGAGCAATGGATTGACAGATGGAGAATTGTGCTGCAGGAGGGTGTGAGAGGGAGGAGCGAGGGCATGGCGCTGGGGGGGAAGAGACAGAGCGAAGTGCAATGGAGGGGGCGATGTGTGATGCCTGGTAGACCCAGAGAGCGTGTGGGCGCGTGAGGGGAGAACAGCGGCAGCTGTAGCGAGAGGAATCTGCAGCACCTAGCGACGGCAGGCGGCAGGGGGCAGGGGGCAGGTGTGAGGAGGGGCGGGCAGCACGCACATTGTGGCTCGTGGTCCGATGGCAGCGGCAGCGAGCCCAGCGCGAAGCACACCAAGGGACCACCCGATGCCGCTGCCCCTGCCTCCGCGCTGCTGCTGCTGCTGCTGCCTGCTTGCTGTGACTCCCCCGCTGCGTCCGTGTTACCTGCAGCGTGTGCAGGCACCTCGTCCTGGTGGATGGGCGTGGTGGGCGTTTAGGGCGGGGAAGGGGAGGAGATGTGTCACCGAATATGCATGATTATGCATATGAGGTGCCAGAGTATGCGGTGTAGTTATGGTGTAGCAATGTTGAGTGTGCACATTGTAGGGCAGGTAGTTGGGGACCAGGGAAACTGACGCGAGGTGGGTAGGAGAGCACCGAGGGGTGGAATCCAAGGAACCAATGTGAACAAACCAACCCAGGCTCGAGCCGCACATTGAGAAATGCACGGTTCGAGCCTGGGCCAGGTAAATTCACTCTCTCACACACACCCGATGCTTTTCTCTTGTTATTCTCTCATATTAGTGGAAAGTTGTTACCTCAGATCTAGCATCCGGTGGCACGCCACTATGGGAGGACCTACGGGGTGAGGGAGGAAACTCTTGGCAGAGAGTGGCTGAGGCAGGACAGGAACAGAGAAGAGCAAGAAGGACAGAAGGAAGGGCAGATTGCTGGCAATAGCAGTTTTCCGACAGATGGGGGGACGAGGGGAGAGGGGTGTATAGAACCGAGATGGGAAAAAGGAGGTGGTGCGAGAGAGAGTGTTGGCGTGGGGAAACGAAACAGTGAAGCGGAATTGGAGCATCAGGGGAAGGCTGCCCCCAGCTTACCCTCTGCGCGCCCCCAGCTTACCCTCTGCGCGCCCCCAGCTTACCGCTTGTGAGGCCCACAGCTTGCGGAACTCGAACCTCACGATCAGCGCGCCCTCCGGCACCTCCGCTGCTCCCCGCACGGCGCAAGGCGGTTGTGTGTTTGGAGGAGGAGAGGGATGGGGAGGGGGAGGGGGAGAGAGGGGAGGGAACGGGAAGGGGAAATGGGGAGGGGTGATGGGGGGAAAAGAGGCCTAGGGATGTGGGCAAAGGGACGATGGGATGGGGCACCAGCGGCACCACAGAGCATCAATCCAGGTCAGCAGCCCATCCGTAACAACGGATGCGCAGAGTCGAATCCCTGTTGTAATAACGGAAGTACAGTCAGTCGTAGCGGCGTACCAGGGAAGTACGTCCAGTCGTAGGGGCCGACGACGCTGTTGGGGTACAACGCTGTCGCCGACTTCATGAGATTCGGGTACTCGCTCTGAATCGCAGACCGTCGCACGTCGTCGTTAAGAGTCGCGCGGCGACGAGGGGTACGCCATGGGTCGGACGACGACGGCGAACGTGGGAGAGAGGAGGGGTGCGGGAGGGAAGGGGATGCGAAGGAAAGGAGGAGCGGGAGGAGGAAGAGGCAGCCGTGGCGGGGTAGGGACGCCATGGACGAGGTGAGGCGAACTGATGGAAGCTAAGATTCGAGTTCCGTGACAAGAGCTAGTCAGTCCACGTGAATTTAGGACGAATAGGCTGCTCGCTTGAATTGGCTGCTTGATCGAGGGTGCGTCATTTCTTAGCTGAAATTGCGGAATTTGAGTTAGAACGAGCACAACTGGATGTACACGAACGTCATCTAAAGCGAATTGTCTGTAGTATCAGAACTAGTGCAGCTTGCGAGACTACAGACTAAATTCCGCGCTTTAGTCTCAGCTGGTCGTTTGAAAGTCTTGGACCACCCTGTTCCCAGTGGGAGGCAAGTAGAAGGGAGCTGCATTGTCAAGGAATTAGCCCTTCGGGCAGATTTTCTTTTGAATCCACATACCCATCACATGTATGCTGGGGTTGGTTTGGATGCCTTCTTGGTTTGGATTGAGCCATTTTCTGGTATGGGGGCTGTTGTGTGCTGACCGAAAGTAAGGGTAAAAATACTGTAAAATCATACAGAATACTTCACCGTGTCGCGTCGCTCTTGGAAATTCCATGCCACACGGCGCACCGAATTCCCCAACCACGGCAACAGGTACGGCAAAGCAGGCGCTGAACCTTCATGTAGTCACATCTCGCTAAAGTACATCTAGATACGGTTTGGTAGCTTGTATAAACATCTCGTAAAATTATGACGTCTCCTATCTCCACAGCCCATTCGCTCCATGTAGCGTACAGAATGAAGGGGGCATACTGTATTCTCCCGTCACCAAGCCGCAGGTGCTTTGTGTTACCTGAACCGCACCGCTTTGTTGACGGAACACAAGGTTGAAACAGTTACGACCGTCAACACCTGGACGCGCAGCGGCCACGTCTGCTCCCCAACTACTCTCGGCCTACACTCATTCCTCCAATCGGCAGCAGCCCACGGAGACAACATCTTGTGGTGAAGTTCCAGGTGCTGGTGGCCACCTGGACTTTGATGACATCAGCTCAGCACAGTCCCCCTGAACCCGTGGCCAGCGGGATTGCTTCGATCGCACGTGGCAACGGAACGGTCAGTGACGTTGGTTCTTTGCCCCACTGCACAAGCAGCAGCAGGACAACAACCGTTCATCCGCGTTTCAAGCATCTTTCCCGTCAAGCGTAGCCTCTCAGGCGACCGTTAGTTGGTTGGGATTTACCAGGAGTTGTTAGTTGCTCGGATCAGTACTTATCCACCGGACAACCTCACACTCTTTCCAATCTCTCTTTGAAATTATCAAATTTCCTTTGCCCAGTCGCAGTTTCCTATCGCTCTTCCACGCCGTAGTTTCCTACTGTTGCTCCTTTTCTTCCCTGTAGCTGCGACCGTTCCTTTATCGGCCACCACACAGCAGCACGCCAGCATGAAGGCTCTCATTCTCGTCGGCGGTTTCGGCACGCGGCTGCGGCCGCTCACTCTCAGCGTACCCAAGCCGCTGGTCGACTTCGCGAACAAGCCCATGATCCTCCACCAGATCGAGGCGCTCAAGGCAGCGGGGGTGGACGAGGTCGTTCTCGCCATCAACTACCAACCCGAGGTACGCCGCCCCCTCGCCTCTCTCGCGCCATCTCTCTCGCTGATCCTTCGCGAATCCGCTTAACAAATCAGATAACAAGTGAAAATACCGAAAATTAACCGATTTCCGTTCGTGCCTATTAATCTTATCATTCCAATCAATATTCAACGTGCATCCTCCCGCACAACCCCCGCGCGATGCGATGCGATGCGGTCGTGACGTGGCAGGTGATGATGACGTTCATCAAGGAGTACGAGGCGAAGGTGGGCATCCGCATCGTGTGCTCGCAGGAGAAGGAGCCGATGGGCACGGCGGGCCCGCTCGCGCTCGCCAGACACATCCTCGACGACGGCTCGGGCGACCCTTTCTTCGTGCTCAACAGTGACGTCATCAGCGAGTACCCGCTCTCGCAGATGCTCGACTTCCACAAGAAGCACGGCGGCGAGTGCACCATCATGGTC